AGCTCGTAGCGCTCGATGCCGTTGCGGCCAAAGTCCCTGTCGGTGGCGGTGGGAAGCAGGTAGAGGGTCCCCACGGGCCGGTTCTCCTCCACGGTAAGCGTGAGGACAGGGGAAGGGAAGGTAGGGGTGTTGTCGTTGATGTCCAGGATGATGACCCGGCCCTCGAAGAGGTCCACCCAGCTCTGCGAGGGGCCGATGACCGACACCTCGAAGTCTAGGAAGCACTCGTTCTCGTCGAAGATCATCTGGCACTGCGGCAGCTTCTCGCGGTCGATGCGCCGCTCCGTGGTGCTCAGCTCCCCGGTCATGTTATCGATCTTGAGGTAGTCGGAGCCCGATTCCAGGCTGAATGTCACCTCTCCGGAGCCCGTCACGATACCCAGGTCGGAAGCCACGTTGCCGACGGCGGTCCCCTCCTCGGCCAGCCTGTACCTCAGGAGCTGCTTGGCCGCTGCTAGGCTGACCCAGAGCGGCGGAGGCAGGAGGAGCAAGAAGCAGCAGCAGCAGCAGCAATGTACAAAGCCAAGGAGAGTCCGCATCTTCCTCATCTTCTTCGCACCGAAAACCCCCCTCCTCTCAGTCCCACCCGCCCCTCAGTAAACTCCCCTGATAAGCCAACAGAAAGGCGTCCGGATGATCAATTATAAAATCCTTCTGTTCCTGGAAACTTACTGTCTCATGGCTGCTGCAATTGGTGGTCAAAACCCTGCTGTTGGCTCCTCTGCTGTTCTCCCTGCCTTCCAGTTGCGATATACTTACAGTTCACGGGACAGTGTATTTTGCTTTTTAAAGATTCATCTCAGCAGATAGGATGGGATTTTCCTCCTCCTCCCCCTTCTCCTCCTCCTCCTCTCTGATTTTACTGTAATCACTTTGCAAGGTTTGCAATAAAAGCAGGAGCAGAACTGTGCGATTTGAAGCCCCCCAGGTCGTCTTCTTCGACACTAGAGTTAACTACAATTCACACACTCTCTCTTTTCTCTCTCTCTCTCTCTCTCTCTCGCTCTCTCGCTCTCGCTCTCTCTCAGCCGTTTACGACCAAGGCATTAGCTTTATTCTTCCCCCTCTCTGCACACACAGGAAAAAAATGTGATTCGCTTTATTCAAAGGGCTTGTGTCCGGGAAAACTCCAAATCCTCTTAGCAATGGGCAGTTCTTTAAAAAATTAATAATAATTTAAAAAGATTAAAAAAAATTAAAAATCCCAATAATGTCGGTAGCTGTACAACTGATAGGAGAAGAACCCCGTGTATTACAGAGCAGTCCATAGACTATCCCCTTCGGTTGGCAGAAAAGCACCCAAATCCATCTTCAGAGATCGCCTAAAATGTTCAGCTCTTTCTCCGGAGAGGATTTTTTTAACAACTCTGCGCAAGGTCATTAGTCACAAAGCAACGATACAGAAACTGCAGAAGCCGTTTGCCCACAATTTGCAAGGCTGTAGATATGAACATACACAACAGTCCCAAGTTTGTTTTTGCATCCGCAGTTTGTGTGTGTGCCTTACCTGCATTTGCACTGCATGTGTTATAGCAATCTGGATCTGCAGCACTGAGAGCGATTCACAAATGAGATTGCAGTCTCTCTCTCGCTCTCTCTCTCTTTCTCGCTCTCTCTCGCCTCTTCCTTCCCGTCCCAATGCAGGTAACCAGATCTGAACTTGATCCTTTCAGTTCAAAGGTTAGCAACAAGACTGTGTTGTCCAAAGGCGATTATTGGTCTCTCGTTAATATACCCGGAGCGGAACAAGATGTAACTGGATCCCCCACGTGAATTAACACAGATTCTGAATTACATCCATATAAGCGGAATGGCAAAGGGGAGGGGAAAAGAGCCGCGACGCGGTTAAAAAATGCACAGAGTTCTATTTGCAAATAAAATGATATCAGTCAGTTGTTTCCTCTGATCTGCACCGCCACGGTGGGTGAAATCTGCAATTGTGTATTCCCTCCTGTGTCTTTCAGAGAAGTGTGGCTCAGGCGCTTTCACGGCAAAGCGGCTTGTGCTTTAAAATACGAAACGCCCCCCCCCGAAAAAAAAAAAAAAAAAAAAAGCAGTAAACCGGCAAGTTTGCCCAAAGTGGTGGGAGCTGCTGAAGCCTCTCTCGGTAGCTCTTCCCTGACGCTGCAGCAGTAGAGCCGCCTGCGCTACACACACACAGAAAGAGAGAGAGAGAGAGAGAAAGAGAGAGAAAGAGAGAGCGAGCGAGCGAGGGAGGGAGGGAGGGAGGAGGGAGGACGAGTCAAGCGCTGCACTCCAGAAAGCCCAGCCTTACCCTCTGTCTCTGCTGCTGCTCTTGCTGCAAGTGGGATAGCTGCTCATCACAAAACACCAGTTCAGTCCTCAGCACCGATCCTCATTACACGCCAGAGTGTTGCTGCTGTTGCCATCCCTAAGCCGTGATCGGTAGTGATTCTCTCCCACCCTTTCCCTCCCCACCTCCGCTTTAGACTGTGAATCGAGCAACGATTTTTAAAGAAAATGTTTATTCGCCTTTCTTTTAGGCAGAGCTGGTGCACGTTCGGAGCTCTGTATTTTGCGGAATCACACTGGTAAGAAAACTCGTTTCGCACAGATTCCCACCTTTCCCTGTCGTGTTGGCGCTTTTGTGAAATAGCTGCAGTCACTGTAACTGGATAAAACTCCAGGGAGGAAGGGGGTCTGCTTTAGAGCTCAGACTTTCGTCCTGTTCCCCAGTGCTATTCGAGCCTTTGGGGCTTTGTGTTCACGTTCTTCCTATTACTATCATCTGAATGTGTCTTTTCAGCAGTGTTTGTGGGTTTCCTAGGAGAGAAAGGAAAAAAAAAAATCCTCGGAGAAGGAGACTAGGGAGGGGGCGAGAGGTTTAGGAGAATAAACACATGTAAGAAGTAACAGATTTATTTCCACAGAGACTTGCTGCTTCGATGACTGCTAAAATGTAGCGTCACCTACCAGGGTAAGTGGGAAATAAACTTTAACATTAAAACTCTCCGCTCAACTTTGTTTATTCTAGCGTCCCTAGTCCGCTTCTCCTTTTGACTTTGTGCCATTTAATCGCCCGTGGCAGTTGCGTGCCTCTGCCCTCTGGGTGATGCCTCGCTCCTATACCTGTCTTTTCCGTTCGGATCTAGGAAAGAAAAGAGGGATATTCGGGAATGCTGGCGGAAGAGGGAGGACCTGGGCATGCATGGGGCAGGCAGTGGGAGAGAGCTGGGGTGCGAGTGTGCGCGCAGGGCGGGAGAGGCAGGCATCCAGCTGGTCTCTCTCCCTCTGTGAATGCATGTGGGAAAACAAGTTGTTGCGGGTTCTCTGTGTGTCCATGTGTATGGGTTGTTCTTTGTTTTAAATGGTTCTTTCGAATAAAGAGAAAACAGTCTAATGGCCTTCTTTCATGGTGATGACACATTTGAGTGAAAGCAGCCGGATATGTTGGGATGGTTCAAAGCAACGGTCACAGCATGTCTTTGTCATCTGGGGCGGTGAGTCAATGTGGGAGGGAAGGTTGCCACCTCTTTCCTTGGGGAGCTGAGAGCCAAGGAGGGGCAGAGCCTGTGTTGCATGGAGTCCGCGCCGGGGAACGAGAGACTGCCCCCCGCTCCGCAGGGCTGGAGGCTTCTCCGCCGGCAGCGGTGGCGGGGGGGCCCCCCCCCCCCCCCTCC